GGCGATTATCTGCCCCCTCGTCCTCATCGCCCGCTCTTGGCATCTCGAGCTCGACATGGAAGCACTCACGAGTGGGATCGTAAGTACCCTCGTCATTAGAGTTGGAGTAGCCGAAGCAATAGTCGCTCGCGGCCAGGAAGCGACGCATGGCTTTAGGGTTGCGGAGCCCGGAGAAGTCCGCTCCGGTCCACGCCTCGTCCTCCTTCGAGGAGTTGGCGTGGGTGTGTGTCGAAGTTGTGGTGGAGAGTTCAAGGGAAAACGTAGGTGATGTCCTAAGGGCTCTGCGTGAGCGGAAGCATAGGTGCAGAAGAGAAAGCGGCGGCATTTCTCAACCCAAAAGGGTACGGGGATGGTGCCATCGCCAGGCTTCGCTCCGCTAGATCTGACTCCTCAGGAGGTGGCGGGACAGAGCTTGATGACGGGGCGTCGTTGTGCGCCACCGGTGTCTTTCCCTTACCTAGGCTTAAGCTAGACAAGTCCCCAGCCAGGGACTCTGTACCAACAGCCGAACATGGGGTACCAGCGGAGCGCGGTGCATTGCCCTGGGCTTGCGTGGTGTCGGGGAGGTCCCACTCGTGTCGTGCCTGGCGAGCGCGACTAGAGTGGCGGCCCGGGCGCCGCCTACGCCTGGGCCGCTGGTGTGTGACGTCGTCATGGGTTGGTGAGGCTCTGGGCATGAGGAGTACCATATCGTACTCACATCCTAGAGACATGAACTCTAGGCTCCCAAACCAGATCACCGTGTCGAGATGTAGTGGTTGTACAGGGTCTGCCTTTGAAACTTGTTGGGATGATTAAGCTAACACACAGTAATCCCCCTACCTGGCACGCCAACTGTCGTTGTTTTGGACCAGGGGGGTCCTCAACCAACGAGTGAATTTGAACTGCGTGCCCCTAGTCCCGGATGGTGATGCAAAGAGACACAAGGTTTATACTAGTTCGGGCGATAAGTGCCCTACGTCCTAGTCTGAGAGAGCGATTTTGTATTCCTTGCACCGAGGTGCTTGTAGTAGAGGTTTACAAGCAGGGCGAGAGAGGGAGCTAGTCCCAAGTCTCTATGGGGAGCGATCGTGGGTTGCTTGAGATCTTGATTTTAGGCGCGAGGAGGAGTGTGTTACAGGGTGCGTTTACGCATGAGTACGAGCGTGGTTTCGACGTGTTCGTATGTCTATCCAATCTATCCGTCTATGCGTGTGTGCGTCCGTGTGTTCGTGTCTAGAAATGGCCCCGGTCACTCCCTTTTATAGTCGAAGGGGGACCGGAGTGGTACATGTGTTCGCTACGTAGCGTCTTGTAGGCGGAGATGGCGTGTCCGAGCCCTGTAGCTATCTACTGTGGCGGTATGGTCGATGGAGCGGCCTTATCCTTGATGTGCTGGAGCAATGCGCCGGTCACACCCGATCCTGTGTGTCGTGGGAGCTCCAGTGACAACTTGCCGTAGGGTGTGGCGGGCGACGTGCCGGTCACTGTGTGTTGACGATATAAGGAGTCGAGGCTCAGTTGGTGCCGAGGCCGAGTCATCGTGGGGGGCTCGGTGGGCGCGAATCCCGAGGTTGCCGAGCCCCTAAAGCGGATAGCCGAGGCTTGGAGGGAGCAGTTGGTCTTGGGTACTGATTCTGAGACTACAGTTACCCGGACGTGGCTCCCCATGCCGCGTTATTCTCGGAGCAAGAGTTAGGTGGCATAGTGTGGTACGGACGTTAGTTACGGGCGCAGTGTCGTGCATAGTGGCCGGTAACTCCTGCCCAGTCTTATCTCCTGTCCGTCAGCCACTCCGTTGTACCGCGCCGTCGTGCGGCTGACGTTGCGGGAGTGGTTGGACGCGCAGATCGGACATGACGTTTTGTTAGAGAAGTCGGTTGGGACGGAGGCGACAAGGTTGTTGTCGAGCCCACCTCGTGCGAGGTGGAGAATCGATGCCTTGTCCGAGGCCTTACGGACAGGGTCTCGATCGAATCGGTAACTCGTCCGAGGCCTCACGGGCGAGGTCTCGGGCGAGTCGGAGAGTTGGTACTTTGTCCGAGGCCTTACGGTTTGGGGCCTCGGGCGAGGGGGCCTCGGCCGAGGCGGGGTGGTGGTACCTCGTCCGAGGCCTTGCGGTGAGGGGGCCTTGGACGAATCGGAGAATCGGCCGAGGCCCATGGTTGTTACTTGGCTTCGGTATTTATATGGTCTAAGCAGTTATTTCGGTTCTTGCTTAGGGTACCCCTTCTCATGGTATCCGACACATATAAATAGATTTGTCTTAAAAAATACTTTCATAAAAATATACATATATCACTTTTTGATAAATATTTTTATAAAAACAAGGAGTCCAAGCAATACTTTGGAGACCATGTCGCTGTCAAAAACGACTTTATTTTTAAGTGTGGAGGGAGTATTGTTTAGACTCCATATTACAGAATTTTTAAGTCTTCACGATATTTAGCCCTTATTATACAAAAATTTTAAGTATTTCACCACCGTTTTTAATAAAAAAATACTTCATCTTCCATCTCTTAATCTCCATGATCACGAAACATGCTAGGATGGAAACAACAAATGTTGAAAACACAAACATACAACTGCCACATTCGGATCACATAAGTATACATCATACTGTGGCTCAGACACGATGATGTTGTTGGGTCATCCTGCATCCCATGAAATCCTAGCCACTTCAAAACCATAAAAAAACTCAAAGTTGAAGACAAATTTCCTTACGTTGATGTTGCTCGGGAACTTGACGAAGGTCTCGCCGAGAGTTTCCCGCTTCTAATCTCAGGGACACCACATCTCAGGCAGTCCACGAGTGGGGCTTGCCGTGCGCTCTGGATCCCCAAGTCCATCGAGCTAGAGCCATCGCCGCTGCTCCCCCTCAATGGGCTACTCCTCATCGTCAGCAAAGGCAGACATGTGTTGGCGGCGAGAAAGGATGGTGACGGCAATAAAGGAGTGCGGGTAGAGAGGGTTTGTGGGAGAGATGAATGGAGACGAACGGAGATGTGCCTTATCCACGTCCATGGGACAAGAAGGGGAGATATGAAAATACACCGCCTGAAAGTGAGCCCAGGTACGTAGGAGATGTAGAACTGGAATGTGGTAGATATCGAATTTCAAGTTTCCAATAAGGTGAACTTTATTGGTGTATTTCAAAAATTAAAATTTTGTAAATTATAATGGCACGAAAAACCCTAAGGGCTTAGTTTGAATATATGTGTATCCACATCAATCCACATGTGTTGGAGTAGAATGAAATAGAATTTAGTTCAATTCCACTCTGATCCAATTCACGTGGATCGAGATAAATGCATCAGCAACAAACACCGCACTCCACACGGTGGCACCCCGCACCCCCAACCCCAATAGAATATGAGACTTTTCCTGTGTGTCATTATAAAAGATTGTAATTTTCTCTATGTGCTCCTAAAAAATTCAGCGGTCTTCAGCGCCACTATTTCAACTTTTTCGTTTCATCCATACCATTTCCGTCAGTTTTGGCTCTAACGTCGTCAAACCGCATGTGTGAAAAGACGAAAATACCCTTAAGTCTAAATATGTTATTAATTTTTTGAGTATTTTAACGACTTCAAATAAAAAAACTAAAAACTAGAAAGTTGTAGATCTCGTCGAGATCTATAATTTTTATATAAAATATATTCTCATTTAATTTCATAAAAAAATATGATTTGATATAATTAATACATCCTAGAAAAATCATCAATTTTTTTCGAAATTAAATGAAAATAATTTTATATGAAAATTATAGATCTCAATGAGATTTACAACTTTCTAGTTTTGATTTTTTTCATTTGAAGTCGTTAAGATGCTCAAAAAAATTAATAACATATTTAGACTTAAAGTAATTTGCATCTTTTCACACCTACAGTTTAACGACGTTAGAGCCCAAACTGACAGAAGTGGTATGGATGACACGAAAAAGTTACAGCAGTGATGTTGAAGACCACTGAATTTTTCCGGAAACACGTATCGGATTACGATCTTTTTATAATGGCACGCAAACAAACTCTCATAGAATATTGTCTAAAAGCTTCGAATGGCGACGAGATCCCAGTGGGCAAGCGCTGTTTTTTCGGCGAGGTGGTCTCGAGACACGTATTGGACCTCCGACGATCGCACCTTTTATAATCTCTGTTTCCTTATAATGGCACGCAAACAAACTGCGCTCATAGAATGGGGCCTCGCCTCGTCGTCGTTCGCGGCGGCGACTCGAATGGCGACGAGATCCCAGCGGCAGAGGCCGCCAAATATATGACCGACCTCGTATGATGAGGTGGTAAATAAGAACCTCGAGATCTTTGGCCCGTCGCCCCTCGAGCCTCCGCGACGCAATTGTCCAAAGCAATAAACAATCCGCGCTCTCCCGCGCCTGGCGCCACCGCTGGCGTCATCTCTGTTTCCTCGACTTCACAGGCTGCTCCTTGTCCGCCGCCCAATCTAAAGCTATTGAAGACTTATTTGCGTTCTACTGACACAAGAAAGACTTAATGATTTGGCTATAATAGCACTTGAATGTGAACTGTTGGAGAAGATTGATTATGAGCATATTATTGAAGACTTCATTTCAAAGAACACTAAAAGAATGATGTTATTCAAGTAAAGATTATGTAATATAGGTATCATTCTTGAATCTTGATATATATTTTATTGCAACATACTGCATGCTTTATAATATCGTATATTTAGTTTTTTTTTCTAGGCTAATAGGCCTCATTTCTTAGTATCGTACAGGGCCTCTAATTTTCCCGGGACGGCCCTGGTGTTCACCACCGCTTCCAGAGGCCGACCACCCACGCCTCGACGACCTTCTCGGCCACCTCTCGCACCGCCATGCCCTTGAGGACCTCACCCTTCAGGTCCCATCCTACAAGCTGCACTCCTCCATCTTCTCCTGCGACGAACTCGTCTACCTCGAGCTTAAAGGTTGTCTGCTCCCAGACTCTACCCCGGGTTTCCTGGGGCTGCGTAATCTCAGGACGCTTAAAATGCATTACACCGTGATGTTGAAGCCCCATCTGAACTCGGCTCAGTTTGACGCGCTGGCGGCTTTGATTACTGGTTGCCCACGGCTTCGTAGATTGGGAATAACTGTTGACCCAAATGTGCTCGGTGTGACGCTAAAGATTGCTGCACCTCACCTTCGCCACTTGTTCATTAAGACACGTTCCATTCATTTGATGGTGGAGTTTCAGAGTCTGCTTCCCGATCTTGCTCGTGCCCAGCTTCGATTGCCGTTTTTCCTCTATGTCCAGGAAGGGGGGTCGAAGCTTCTGCATATTTTACAGAGCATTTCACAGGTGGAGAAGCTGGAGTTCTTTGATCGTAATCCCTTGGTAAGAAGATAATGATTGTTTGTCTCATGTTTGTTATTTACCCCAATAAAGAAGTTTGCTACCACTGAATACTTATCCATGCTCACAATATTAAGGCTTGTTTAGAAATTTGAATTGCCATGAGAGCCTGGTGTATTCAGTATTCTCACCAAAGTTTTTATTTCCATTAATCACAAATAAAGCTCATTCAGGTTTGTCTGAAGTCAAAAAGTATTCATATTTGACCATCTATGTCCATAATTGACAACACTATTGGTGCTACCAGATTTATCATGAAAAAAAAACTTTCATCACATATAACTCTTTGTATTAAGATAATGTTTTTATTAATATTGCTAACAAACTTCGCCTATTTTCTGTGTTAATATATTTGTTTCATGCATATGTACACAGATGTAGTTCTCTATTTCCAAAAAAAATGATACTTCTTTTCCCCTTGAAGTATTTTTTTGAGTTTGTACTCTTGCTCAAGAGGAATATTCTAGAATAAGGACATACAGCTTATATCTTTAGCTTTTTTTTTGTATTCCATTTTCTGCTATTGGAGCAACCTCGGACTTTACAAATATAGGATCCTTTTTCATCTCTGACATGTTTTTCCATATTTGTTGTCCTCTCTAGGTTGATTTTCAAGCTATGGTGCCATTCAAAATCCAAACTAAATTTGAGAACTTGCAATATTTAACAACAGATGCTGATCTGGGTGATGCAGCACATTTTGTTTTCATTTTTGAGTTCTTAAGATGTTGTCCAAACCTAAGGGGGCTTAAGATTAAGGTAAACCTAATATCTGTTATGAGTTTCAACCTAATATCTGTTATGAGTTTCTTCTCTTCGTTTTTGTTATTACTTCACTAATTTCCATATGGAAAACAGTTCCCTGTTTCAAGGCATGGTTTTCATCATCATTTCGAAGAAACCCAAGAATTTTGGAATGCACATGGGTATGGAGATTTGTTTCGGTGCCTGCGCATTATGGAATTGATCGATGTGTACCTGCCATACAATGAGCTGCAATTCATAAAGTTGGTTTTATCAAAAGCTCAAGTGCTAGAAAACTTCACTATTGTTCACCGCGCTGAGAATGAAAGTTCCAGCTTGGAAGCTTGCATTGAAATTCTGAAGTTTAAGAGAGTATCACAAGGAGCTCAAATTAAGTACAATGTTGCATCGGCACATTAAGTGGTAAGTTCCCAGAGAGTATGGTGGATTGCATAGGTCTCCTGCATCTGTTCCTTGAAAAAGAAAGAGCTTTTCTATATTACCAGGTCAACTGGTGATTGTTAGCATGACATGTTCTAGATTTGTACAACTATTTAGTATCATACTATCATCCGCTTCCAAATGCAGCTGCAACGTTATCTAACATTGTGGCATATCTTAGAACCATGACTCGATAAAAACAGAGAACCTTTCTATCTGGTCATAGAGGGAAAGGCGGAAAGCTCCCCAACTTTCCTAATATATGAAGGAAAAAAAAACTATCATGCTATCTTGTTCCATGCAGCAATTTGGATTTTGAAAAACGAGAAGGATGTAGTTTTTCTAGTTCATGGATGTAACTTGTTGATGGTGTAACATGTGTTGCTAGGTTGTAACATTCTTGCTAGCTTATGTAACTTTTTTGGTATATAATGTAACTTTTAAGCTTTGTATGTTTTTTTAAACTGCTTTTTACATATTCTCAGTTAAATTTATCTACTTCCAAAGCACAGGATATAACTTGTGGATAGTTGGAAGTAACATGTGGTTAGTAGGATCAAGTCTGATTCAAGAATCAAAGATAACCTCATGCACTCACCTGGCACTCTGCCAGCAATCAACATAGTCCATTCTAGACATACTAAAGCTTCACCTTCCACGGTTCCACCACTGCCACTGGATAGTACACAATACAGTAAGAACATAACCCCTGCCATCCTGAGCAATATCAATGCTATCCTTCCCTGAATCTTCCTGGTAAGGAGGATCTACATTGGTTCACACCATCCTTTATGGCGGTTCACATTTTTCCTATCACACTGTGGCCAATGCATCTTCTAACACTCCTACAATTCTCTCTCTTTTTTTCCCTCAACAAGTTTCCCTTTTCCTTTTTCATTTACTGATGAACAGCATGAATTATCTCTGTTATTCACTGGAAACTGAACGGAGCCTTTAACAGTTTGTCATCTGGACAGCATCTAGTAATACTTTGTGCTCCCACTCCACAAACTTTACGTTTGTCATCTGTAGGAAGTGTTATCCAATGATGATTCTCCTAGGTAGGCAAACCATTGCAAACAAGACACCATGTAAACACCTTGACTTTCTGTGGTACATCATTGGACCATATAAAATTCCATATTTTCCAATTTCCATCAGCATTGTTACTATGTTGTGACCCCATGGCTCACAGCAAGCTTGTGGGCAGTGTGAACAGCTTGGTTTTAAGTTGCTGCCTATGCAATGAGGCCCAGGTGCAGTGGACTGATGGGCTAACTGAGTTGCAAGGACTGCCTGATCTAAGAGTGGCAATGGCCCATCTATCTTCTAACATTTTTCTGTTGTATACAGGCGCGCATGGTGTCGCCTAGGCATCCATCCGCCTAAATCGCCTAGGAGATGAGGCATATCCATGGCACTATACCTTGCCTTACTGCCTTAGAACACTGGCACGCTGTAAAAATTCCTTTCTTCTCATAAATGTCTGGCAAAAATTGTAAAATACCATCCTGCACCTGATCAGGTAAAAATTTGTTTAGAACCTTTGTCAAATCATAACAATAGCAAATATTTCAAATAAGATTTTCGTGGCATTCATGACCATTTTCTATAAGCTGTGACACCCATCTCAAACCTGCTTCAGGTTTTACTTGGCTAAATATGTCGTGATGGTTGTCATGGAATCCAGCTGTTTCTTCATATTTGAAATTTGCTGCATGAACCAACTCTCCAAACTAGTCATTTCTTCAATAGCTCAAGCCCATGTTCAACTCCTCTGCATAGCAGAGACACTTGTGACCTGAATGCAATATCAGTTAGTTCACCTGCTTGGTAGTATTTAGCCTTTAACAATCTTGTACGCCCACTCTGCCAACTAAATTAGTCACCGCGCCTGTCTTGCAAGAAGAGCTTGATTAAATAGCTGCAATCTTGAAACCCAAGGCCTCCACGTGATTTAGGCAATATTGAAACACCATTTTGCTCCCATGTAACAAATGACCTTTCCTCTTGTCATCTTATCTCCCTGCCAAAAAATATGAATCGTTTTTTAGAATTTTTTCTAAAAAATATGAATCGTTAGCATACTTATTCACAGATTTGAACATGCATCACATATGTTGGCAGGACCTGTGCTACTGATTTAGGAAGGACCTATGTAGCACCCAAGGATAGATGCTTCTCATTCCAATATGTCAATCTTCTTGCAACCGTACTTTTTAACAATTAACAGGCCCAAACCGAACAAGACATGGGCAAGTTTCAATTTGCCGATGCATGCTAACTCAAGAGCTCTCTTCTCCGTCTTAACTGTCTCTGAAGTGGGCCACGGTGTGAAATACTTTTTTTGGCTAGGACTGCAGACTGCATGGGAAGCCAGTGGCAGATCTTGCACTTCATGTGTTTGCAGTATTATCTTGACGAGCCGCCAGTTAGCAATTGGTGTGCCAGGCTTTGCATCCCAATTGTTGATGTGGTGCATCAAAGGAGATCTAACTGTTGTGGTTCTAGTAGATTTTCTTTAGCTTATTGTTGCTGAAGTGGTTCTGCAACCAGGTATCTTAGATGATCACAAGTGGCTAACCGAAGCTGGAGGTGTCTTGTCTACCAAATCAGCCTACAAATCCTTCACCAGTTTTGTTGAGTTGCAACCTTGGAGGTGCATTGACTAAGGCGTCTCAGAGATCCAAGTTTTACATTAGACAGCAAATTCATATCCGATGCAGGACAGCTAACACATTTGCTCGCAGAGGGTTACCTCACCCATAGCATTGTCCCTCAGCAATGAGTTTCATAACATGCGACTTCAGTTAGCATTCAGAGTTCTTGTTAGAGTTTGTGTTAGCGTGTGTTTTTGTTTGGCATCTTATGTTTTCATTTTTGTTGTTTTTTGTTTGGTTCTGGTATTTTTGTTTTTGTTTCTGTTCTTTCAGTTTGTTTGCCTTTGTATTGGTTGCCAACCTTTCATCCTCCTTAATATAATGGCATGTAGCCTGCACGTTCTTGAGGGAAAAAAAACATGCTGGAACCTTAAATCTTTCATTTACTCTTAAACCCATATACTTCTCTAATGTGACCTTTTCAACAGAGTATACGTCATTGATTTCTTCACACGATCTTGGCACCAGTCTCCGAACATGATAGAACACTTAAACTGATATGTTTGTTATGTGTATTTTCCTAGAAATATACCTGCACCATGCTCCTTACATACTAATGCCTTTAGTTTTGAAACTTCATAATTTCATAGCATTATTTGCTCCTCGTTTGCTTACATTCAAATTGTTTTGCAGGTTGACAATAACACAATGTGCTAGCTTGAAGTGTGGAAGGTATACCTGACGACCTGGCATTGGAACTGACAACTGAGGAGGAGCTTTTGCAGCTTCTAGGGAAGGGGAAGTAAAGAGAGTCTCTTTTGGTCACTAGGGTTTGACTTAACTCCTGTATGCATGATTGTGGAGGCAATTGTCCTTGTTGGTTGTAATTAGTTTCTACTCCGTAGTTAAGCACTGTTGCGCACTGGGAGTAGAACTTCCCTCTGGTACTTTCAGTTGGATTTCCTCGTGCTAGCAGGCAGGTTGCATAATGCAGGCCTATGAAAATGGTGACCGCTTCCTCTTTTCTCCGACGGATAATCTGTGTGGGGTACTTGGGTTGTTATGGGTTTATAGTTCACATTTGATAAAGCTAGTTTATTATCGTTCCTCAAAGTTTACAGAGAAGCCTTTGCAATTGCCAAACACACGTAGTTGGGTTGGGTAAAGTCGTAAAGATAAAACTCTGACACGTTTTAAGTTTACTGCACTGCAATTCTCTGTTGTCATGTTGAGCAAAGTTTTCAGAAGACAAGAAGAAAAAAAAGTTGAGCACTAACAGATCTCACATCATCAGGGCTTTAAAGGAAGCCTGTGTCGATCGATGATACTACGTTGCTGGTCAATGTTTATAGCTGTACAGTAGTAATGGTCTCGACACAGATGGTGACAATCTGCGCCTTTACTTAAAAAAAAGGTTATTTTGATTCAAGCCATTACCATTTTTCGAGTTCGGAGATACACCGCTGTAATTCGCCTATTTAGAGAACTACCATTATAATTCCATGTATTCTCCATCGGTGTCGTTTTCTACCCCTCTCCCTTACATGGGCCACTGTCGGATACGTATGTATACAGTAACACACGTACAGCCCACTGCGCACGAGGCGGAGCGGCCGCGCACGCCCGCGGCGGCCAGCGTGCGAGGCGGAGCAGCGGCGCTTGCCCACGGCGGCCTGCCCGCGAGGCGGAGTGGCCACGCTCGCCCACGGCGGCCAGCGCGCGAGGTGGAGCGGCGGCGCTTGTCCTCGGTCGTCCAGGGCTGCTGCGGCGGCCGCACGATGCCGAGCACCCTGGGCCCTTCACGTCGGTGCCCATGAGAACGTGTAGAGGCTCTGCGCGGCGAGGTGCTGTGCGCCGACGTCCGGTCCTTCACCGTCTCGTACTGCTGCCTCAGTGAACTCGGCGCGGCGGTCGCCCGCGTCGCTGTCCTCCATCCACGCGACGCTGTGGAGGCCCTTGAGCCAGGTGTCGAACTCGGGCGGCGGATCCGGGTCGTTGCCGGGTCAGTAGGTGCCCCAGCTGCTCTCCTCCACGTTCCCCGCCGTGGTCGCGTACACGTCGATGTTCTCCGGCAGGAGGCTCTCGAAGATAAATGCAGACCTGTCGCTAAGCAGGACAGCGAGGAAATTGTTGACGTTCACGTTCATGTCCTTGCCCATGTAGTCCTTGGGATAAGGTTTTTAATTTCGGTATCGCCAAAATTTCGGTCACCACCGAAATTACCGAATTTCGCAAAATTCGGCCGAAATTTCGCTCGAATTTTTTTTTAGAGATTAGCACATGAAGTATGTTTTTTCTAAAAAAATTTGGATCTAAACAAATATTACTATGATTTATGACTACATATTTATTAAATAGAAGAATATGCAATATAAACAATAGAAAAATATAAGATTAGAGTTATATAGCACATGTATTAGTGTATTAAAAAATTCGGAGTTTTCTTTCGGCCACCACCGAAATTACCGAATTTCGTGAAATTCGGCCGAAATTTCGCCGAAATTTTGAACCCTGCTTGGGACTCCCACGTACACGTCTCTCGGGGGTTGTCCGGGCTGTCCGCGATGTCGTCGTACATGAAGACGATGATGTCGTGGGACGGGCCCAGGCTGTCGCTACTGCAGCGCTCAAGGAGAACGTCCTCGACCGGGTCGCGCACTACATATCCATGAGCACGCCCACGTCCTGGTCCGCCGCCACCGCATCCGGCAAGAAGAAGGATGGTGCCTGCGGCCGCCGCGGATAGGACGAGAGGGCGACCGCCAAGGAGCACGCGCGCGAGATCCTCCGTCAGGCCAAGGAGACGGTCGCTAGCCGCAAGTCTGACAAGAACAACACATCCTCGTCGGAGCGGGCGGGGTCTTGTCGGGGGTCTGCGGGTTGGGTCTTGGCGGCCACGGCACGCGCCGAGGACGCGACCCGCGGGAGGTCCCGCGCAGACCGGCGGAGCGCGCACGCGGCCAACGCCAGCCGGACCGGCTCCTCCTTGCATAGCACGAGCCTCGGCTTGGAGCGCGGTGAGCGCGACCAGGGTGTCGCGGAAGCTGCCGTGCGCGTCTATACACGTTCGTGTATGTGTTTTTGTACGAATACAGGTGTGGACCCATATATGAAGGAGGTGTAGAAAATGGCATGGATGAGGGAGAGATGAAATTATAATAGCAGTTCTTCAAATAGGCGAATTGTAATGTCGTATTTACAAACTTGAAAAATTATAATGGCGTGAATCAAAAAACCCTAAAAAAAATCTGCGCCTTTTTCAGTCTGAACTGACTATAAGCGGCATTTTACCCTAACATCAAGAGATTGCAGACCGAGCTGATCCGTCGGTCTCAACTGCTAACTGTCTGATTTGACCTTTATTTGGTCAGCCTGTAATTTGTGTTGATGCTACTGCATGAGCACGATGATGAGAGTTGACCAGCGTGTCGAACAAGTTTGAATCTGACCAAAAAGCTGACCCAATAACTACCTGATCTACCAGGTTCTGTGACATGCGCCGCCGCGGCCGCCGCTCACTTGGCCGACGAGCGGCGTCGACTGCCGCCGACAGGCCGCCCAGCACTGAACTCAGAACGCGATCTTCGTTGGTCTGGTCAACCTGCTCTCTCGCCGTCAACAAGGAGCAAAGCTTCTTCAGCTCCCTGCTGCACCTGCACAAGCACCGCGTACTCTGATCGTGCAGGCAGCACACACAGGCTGAATTCTGCATGCTCCATGACAGCAACATCGAACGTGGCAACCATCTGTGCAGTTAACTGTGAATGGTCTCCTGAACCTGGTCACTATTTCGTTGCTAGTGATTGCCCGAGCTCAACTTGTTCGCTCGGTCGTATTTGGCTTATAAGCCATGGTTTATCAATCAACGAATAATATTTTTCTCTCACACCAAACTAGCTAATAATACTTTCAACCATAACTTATAAGCCAAACATGGCGATTGTTGTCGGTCCTGCAAGTCTGTTGTGGAGACGGGGATCTTTGTGCACCGTCCCCAACCACAACGCCGACAAGGCGGTGGCGAGACGGCAATAGGCTACACCCTGTCAAAATCCACATCACTGAATTCACCCCGCAATCAGTGTACCAGCTGCATTGCAGTCTGACTGACTGGCCTCACAAGCACTACATGCTCTCACACGCTTTATGCAGTTAAGATGCTTCTGAACCTGGTCAATATGTTGCTGCTGCTGGTCTGGGCTTCCATTTGACTTCGTCCAGGTTTTCAGCTTGCCAGATGTTGTGATCAGGATTGAGGAACTTAGGAACTTAGATAAAACTTGTGGCTACACACTAGATGATGCCGCCTTATTAATGTGATCTATTTCTTCCTATCGATTCTAGATTTCTAGTTTGAGAGATTATTAGTATGCAGCACAAATTTCTGTGGACGGTTGCTATCAGCCCAATAGCACCAGTGTTGTCGTTGGTGTTCGGCTGTTCCACTTCTAGTTTCAGCTTACTCTCTCTCACATAACACTATTTATTCATCCAAAACCAGCCAAAATTCACTGTTCATCATATCAGCCGAACACGCCAGAACTACCAAATTCTAAAGTCCAGGGAATTTATTGTTCTCATCAGGAATGTTCTTCGGCATTGATTTAAATTTGTTTTTTAGTGGACACCAGAAACTGCACAATGTGCTTGCTCGTTTACAGGCATGTGATGTTTTAGAAAGCATGCAGTCAAAATACTGTAACCTATTTAGCTTTGATTGTTGATTTTAGAGGAATTGTTTTGGATAGGTAACACATGCAAAATATCATTGCTTTTTTATCATGAAAGTATTTTAATAAAATGGTAATTTTATTACTACTAGTCATAAAATAAAAAAGAAAAAAAAACGACTAAAGTTGCATAATTGTAGACCAAACTGACGCCTAAAACACCATCCTTTGTGTACTCATTTTTCTGGTTGTATGTTAATACATCGCTTTTCCTACATAGTACAATCTATTTTAAGAAGACCCAAACTAGATCCCCCTAGCTCTGCTGCTATTACATATATAGTACAGACAGCTAGCAAAGCATGAGTGCAAAAAATGTAGTACAAATACATACTGGCTACATGATCATATTCTATTATTCTTCCTGGTCCAAAACCTTGGCTTCTTGGCACTTTAATTGCACCCATTCCTGTAGCAGTTCTGGTCTCATCTGATCGTTTTTTCTTGCAAGTTCTTCAAACGGTCCGTCAGTCCAATGCAGAAGTGGTAATAATGCTTTATGAGCTATAGAAATGCCGACTCATCATTTGCCGCTAAACCTTTGAATGGCAAACGTCACTTCGCTGAAAAGATAAGCTGAAAAGTATTGTTCGTTAATTTATTGTGAGAGAAAAATATCGTTCTTTCGCTGAAAAAAGTACAGTTCATAAGACAAGCGAACAGGGCCGCAAGAAAAGAATATCTCATCGAACCCATTTATTAGTGCCCATGCTACCATTATTCCAGAATCTGCAACCATGCTAGTGAAACTTGAATGCTTATATATCTGAAAACTGAAATGTGTGATGTATTGTAGGAGATAACATGTTTGAGCTACAGTAACTGAATGCCACCGGACCGGAATTCTCGCGAGTTTGGGAGACGCCACAAGAACAAGAGGTGAAGAAACAAAGACATTTTTCGTTGACGCTGACGTTCCTGCTTACTGCATGTGACTGCCTGGAATTACTATTACCCAGAAAAGGATGGTCGTGTAAATGTAACCATCCTACCGTTTCCGTCTTGTTTTCTGAATGCCACAGCACAACATTCAACAGAATTACAGAAATAGAAGTGTTTCAGTTTCATTTAGATGTCGTGCCCTTGTTGTTGAGCCATTTTTTGTCTCACTCGAACGTAACGAAGGTGACAAAGTTAACTTGTCGGGCGAGCATACCCTTGGGTGACCAACCTGACAAAGCAACCCAAATTTGGAACTAAACCAGGCTGCCTTCAGAGATGAGGTCACTGCAACAATATAATTGGTACCTCACTCTGGCTGGTAAAACACAAATTACTCTTTTGGAGTCTAAAGGGTACATATGAATCTCTTTCTCTTCTAGTACCAAACAATTGCAGAGTTGAGACTTTTCGTGTGGCTAGTGGTACATGTTGAAACCACTGTTCACCAAAAGTACAGCGGCGTTTAAATTCTAGTACAAGATGGCTCGGCCGTGTCTGTTTAATCAAGTTTATCATCAGGTTTAGACGGCTATTAGTTTAGCTTGTCTAGATTACATGGATGTTTTGCCCTGAATAATAAACAAACTAATAAAAGAGAGAAATTTAAGTAAACATCGAGTATATATGGGATCTTTTGTCGTTAACCTAACTTATAGCCCTTGCATGAGGCTGACTATATCGCACGGTGCTTAGCAACCCATAACGAAAACTTTAATATTATACGTTGAAGTACAAACAAACTCATCTTCTTATATGTATATGTATACTCATATAATGGTGAATGTGACATAATACTCTTTCCTTAAGTACAGTACATTTTCTTATACACATGGGCCATGTTCGCTTCTATTATAATCCGTACTTTTTCAGTTTGTTTTTTTAGCCGAAACAGTGTTTTTCTCTCACAACAAATCAGCCGAAACAATATTTCGGCTTGTTTTTTCAGCGAAGCGAACGGGGCCATGAACCACTACATTCTACTAGTACATCGTACATATATACTCCATCCGTCCCAAAATAAGTGCACATCTCACGTTTTAAGGAGACAAACAAATTTAAATTTGACCAAATTATTATGAAAAAATACTAAGATTTATAATATCAAATAGTTATTATTAGACTAATCACATCATATATTTTTATACTAATCCTATTCAGATATACAAATGCTAATACTATTTCCTATAGTCCTACTTGAGATTTGTTTGACTCGTCAAAGTAGGAAATGTGAACTTATTTTGGGTCTGACGGAGTACTCGCAAAAGGTGGGAGGAACGAAAATTAATAAATCAAAACAAACAGCTTCAATCGATATCGGATATGGTCATATACTCATATGTGCAGCCAGTGAGCACTAAGCCACGAACAGACGAATGCATGTCGGCACGCGCGCTAGCTTACTTCTTATTGGCGGCGCTGCGACGGCGCCATCGTTGCCGACGAGCATGAGGTACTTATCCTTTCTGGTGAGCATGGTGCACTCGTAGCCGAGCGCCTCCGCGATGAGCCGCTGCACGCGGTTGGCCACGTCGGCGCTGGCGGCCTTCTTCCCGTCGCCGCTCACGTCCGCCGTGTCCACCCTGTCGAGGAACTGCACCGTGTAGCACATCCTGGGGTTGGACAGGTAATAGAAGGGGTCGACGGCCTTCCACCCACTGGCCGTGGTGCCGTAGAACATGGCGGTCTCGGCCGCCAGCGCGACGGGCACGACGCCGGCGTCCCCGCCAAGCTCGGCGAAGAGCGGGCTGAAGCGGAGCAGGTAGGGCTCCCGGCAGGTGGTGCCCTCGGGGCACACCACCACGCTGTCGCCGCGCGCCAGCAGGCGCGCCATGGCGGCGCCGTCGCGGGCGCGGTCCCGGGCCAGGCGCACGGTGGAGCCGATCGGGGACAGCAGGTCCGACACGCGGCTCAGGCTGTAGGACACGGCGCGCACGGGGCGGTCCAGCGCGATGGACACGTACACCGGGTCGATCAGCGTGCGGTGGTTGCACGCGTACAGCTGACCGCCGCTGCTGCCGTTTCGCGGCGGAGGGGGGAGCGAGCCGCGGAGGCGCCACGACTGGCCCGTGGCGGCATGGAGCGCCGTGGCGATCCTGTACGGCAGCGCGAGCGAGATGGCTAGGCGGAGGACGGAGAGCGCCGCTCCCAGGGGCAGCCACGTGAACATGGCCACCGTGTTGAGCGGCGTCGGCAGGAACGCGAGCCGGCCGTCGTGGAAGACGAGCGGGGTCGGGTAGTCGCGCCGCTCCAGGCGCCGCCACTTGCTCTGCTCCTCCGGGCTCACCACGTACACCTCCTGCAGATATGGAGAGACATGATCGGTGGTAGTCAGCAAGGAGCCAAGAAGGATACATCGCTGTCGTGCATGGGAATTGGGATCGATCAATTCAAGAGCAGTTAATCAAAGGAAGCTACGACCTTGCAAATGGACGCGAGAGGACTGGAGAGGAACTCCACGGAGCCTCCAGCAGAGAACCCCACGACGTCGACGTCGTCGCCTTCCCGTGCCGACGCCGCCGTCTTGGTCGTCGTCCTCTTCCTCGTCACCATCCGCACCGCCTCACAGTCTTCGTCTCCCTCCATGAGGCCGGTGTAGAAACCCCACGCCGTCTTCATCTCCCTCGCCGCGACGGCTGCGGCGGCCGGCACCTGCAGGTACTCCCTGAGGAAGGGCTCCACCATGACCCGCGGCATGGCGCTCGCCCACACCACCCTTGCCGGGTCGTCGCCGGCCCGCCGCACGGCGTCGAGCGCCTCGTCCGCCACGTCCTCCAGGAGCCACCGCGGCAGGACGGCGCGGCCGGCGCGGAACGTCCGAGCGCGCAGGCCGCAGAAGGCGACCGCGGCCATGGCGCGCACGGCCAGGTCGCCGCCGCCGAGGCGGCAGCAGCAGCAACAGCAGCGGATGGCGGGGTAGAGGAGCAGCAGGACGAGGGCGCGGAGGAAGCCGCCGGCCTCGAGGGCGACCAGCATGAAGTAGGGGAAGAGCGAGCGCGACAGGAGCAGGGCGCCGTCGACGTCGACTACCAGCGTCGTCGTTGTTGTCCCCGCGCCGCCGGAGAGCCGTGCCGCGGGAGGAGGGGCGTGCCTGTGGACGGTGGGCGATGGGCTGTTGCGTGCAGCTGGTGGCGGTGCCCGGGGAGGAGTGGCTTTGCCGGCCCGGACGAGCGCGGGAAAGAGCTCGCTAGCCGCAGGCAACATCTTCCACGCCATGGAAGCCAGGAGCCAGCTAGCTACGTGCTTTGCTTCTGTTGCTAGCTAGCTAGCCGCTATTGCATTGCACCACTGCGGGCAACTGACGACTATAGCATTATAATGCCTAAACACACATTATACAGTATATATAGAAAAGTATAGAGAGTGTTTCTCCGTAGTTTGTTGCTGCCTTGCTGGAGTGATGAAATGGTGGAAAGGGATAGTCATAAATGCCACTGCACACAGCACAAATTCTGGGCAAACACCGAGAAGAAACAAGCATAATCACTGTATCGGATGTAAGGGCTGTTTCGATCTGACTACTAAAGTCGGGTGGATGTTGTATGGGATATTTGGATACTAATAAAAAAATTAAATTACATAATTCATCAGTACTCCACGAGACGAATTTTTTAAGCCTAATTAACCGTCATTAGCACATGTTTACGGTAGCAAAACATTGTCAAATCATGGTCTAATTAGGCTCAAAAGATTCGTCTCGCAAATTAGTCGTAACCTATGTAATTAGTTTCGTAATTAGTCTATATTTAATACTCCATACATGTGTCCAAACATCTAATGGGACAGCGACCCCCGCGTCACTCCCCCACGTGGGCGACACGGGCAGCCGCGCCCTCCCAAACCCTAGCAGCCGCCCCTTCCCTCCCCTCCCCCTGCCACGTCGCCGCCGGAGCTGGCCGCCGGCATGGCCACACGGCTCACTGGGATGGCGGTGGCGGGGCTCCTCCTACCCTCGCGATTTGGTGGCGCAGGTGACAGCGAGCCGGCGGCTCTCCTCCCACACAGGCTGCGTGGAGCCCGGCGGGGGCGTCCGTCGCGGCTGTTGGCGGCGTCGGTTGGTGTCCGGCTGGTGCGTGGGGACGGCGGCGGATCCCCTTCTCCCTCGCCTGTCCCTTCCTCCAGACTTTGGCGGCGGCGGCGTTGGCCCAGATCGCTTGATCGAGTCCTAGGCGGTTGGATCCGGTGTTCACGCGGCCGGATTTGGAGCTCCGACGCCTAGACCCGGCACTCTCTCGGAGGGCTGGTGAGGGCGGTGGCTGGCCAAGGCGGAGGCGGCGGCGACAACAAAGGGTGTCGGCACCGGTGCTCTACTGCCGGTTCTAGCGCCACTGGGCAGGGGGCGACGCCCACGGGGGTAGGGCACGTGTCTGGTGGTGGCTGACGTCGGGTCGCAGCGTCAGCAACACATGCCAAGAGCCGACGACAATGGTCGGCTGAGGCGTTGGTCGTGCGGCGGTGTTTCGCGAGCAGCGGAGTTAGGTCTGGCTCCGCGTTGCCCAGCCGAAGGGGGTGACGGCCGACGCATCGAGGCCCCTCTGAAGGGGTTACTTTGGAGCGGCAGGACAACGGCGAAGGCAGTGATGGATGGCAAGGGGCCTTGCTTCTTGGCCCGGCGTTCGTGTTGGAGGACTCCTTGGGCGAAAGCCTAGCGACGGCGACACCTGCGGGTGCCACTTTCTCTGTTGGGGCGTCGTGTATCCCCTCTAGCACTATCATCCAAGGTTGAAAGCCCGGTCCACTTTGGACGTGCGACGGTGGCGCCATCGGCGTCGCTACCTTCCTAAAGGCGTCGTGTTTGGATTTCGTCGTGGCCTCGATGTCTCCTCAGTGATTGTTCTTTGCTTCTTGGCGCCTCGATGACGTGTGGAGGCGGGTCTTGCTGTGAGAAGTCGAAGCTCCCGCGTCAGGGATGTGGCTCGATAACGATGGCACGCGGCGAGCCCCCACCTTCATCATAGGCTAGGGTCTGCTAGGGGTCGGCAAGCGCCGGAGGCGAGGCGTGTGGCCGTGATTGGAAGTCGGAGCTACTCTTTTGCGGGGTGCTTGAGCTTGGCAACGATGACCGGTTGCGGCCGCTTGCTTCAGGCTCATTGGTGGGTGGCTTGTGTGTGGACTGCCATGAGAAGTCAGAGCCGCTAGCGTCTTCAGCCATGCTCGGCAACGATGACCCATGGTAGCGTGTCGTGTTACTGCTCAGCTGCGTCGTGTGGGTTGGTTAGCCTATCGGGTGCCCTTTTTGACATCCCATTGGCTAGCCCTCTTGTACATAAATGCTTTCGTCTTAATTGAGCGGTAGAGCTCCTACCTTTGTTTTAAAAAATACAAATTCTAAGGATTAAATATGGAACCATACGTGATCGAATGCTAAAAGGATGGATATATGTATACGGCTTTGTTACGGTGCTTCAATGGTGACCTACTAATCAAATATATGCATTCTATATAAGAATTTTAGGATAAATTATGGGATAATGCAAATGATGTATGTAAACCATCCTTTAACTATGTAAAGACTTTGTAGTTACCATATGAGCCCAGTGGTACAAACTGGTGGTAGATAAACATGTGATTGGACTTGATGAGTTAATTCACCCAGAGTATGTTATAATTTAGGGGACTGCTAGCGTTGGACGCCTGATCTGGGCGCTAGCGTTCGGACGCTCGCGTCAGCTATGCCCACCCACGTGCCCGCATGGATGTCTACACCCGCTTCACATGGTGACCCACGCCGCTCCGTTTCCAGCGCATCCGTGTGCCCACGCGGGGCCACGTCTCGATCTGCGCTCGCTCTCGTTTCTCACATCTGCCGCTCGCGCCCCTCCGCTCCAACACGCATGCACGTGGGCCCAGTAGCTACAAGCAGGTGGTTGTGGCAGGTGGGTCCAACTACAACATCATTCCAACATCAGATCTACTTTTGCAACATCCAGATAAAACATTTGCAACATACGTCTAAAACAGATGAAACATTTGGGACATATAGTTGAAACACCATTGCAACATGTGCAACATCCAGATCTACATTTGAAACATCCCGATACAACACTTGCAACATACAAAAGAAAATAGATGAAACACTTGAGACATTGAAAGGTCCTAATGGCTAGAGGGGGATGAATAGCCTATTAAAAATCTACAACAACACTAAGCCAAGTGGTTAGACAAATATGATGCGAAGCAAGTTTTGCGCTAGCCTACTGAAAATACAAGCCACCTACCATAATTCTAGTTGCTATAATCTCTATGCACACAAAGGCTAGGTCACTGCCACTAAGTTAGTGAGCTCTCAAAGACTAACTAAAGAGCCTCACTAATGAAACTACACAAGCAAGAAAGCTAGCTCTCAAAACTAACTACACTAAAGAGCTTAGCTACACTAAGAAAGTAAATGCAAGGTAGAATAGTGAGGATATACCGCCGTGGCAAGAGATCAATCAAGAATACCAATGAATACCAAGGAGACAATGATGACACAAGATTTTTCCTTCAAGGTTCATGCGCTAATAGGCATCATACGCCTAACCCGCAATCGGGTGCCGCACAACCAACACAAAATGAGGATCTACAAGCCATGAGCAATCCACTAGAGTACCTTTTGGCTCTCCGCCGAGGAAAGGTCAAGAACCCCTCACAATCACCATGATCGAAGCCGGAGACAAGCACCTTCCCCCGCTCGATGATCCTCACTATATCAAGCCATCGAGGTGGCGGCAACCACCAAGAGAAACAAGCGAAATCCACAGCGAAACACAATCACCAAGTGCATTTAGATGCAATCACTCAAGCAATGCACTTGGATTTACTCCTAATCTCACAAAGATGATGAATCAATTATAGAGATGAGTGGGAGGTCTTTGGCTTAGCTCACTAGGTTGCTATGTCAATAAAAATGGAAAAGAGAGTGAGCTAGAGCCAGCCTTGGGGCTTAAAATAGAAGCCCCAAGAAATAGAGTTGTTGGACTCATCACAGAGCCCTGCTTGGGATGATCGGATGCGTAGGTCAAAACGACCTTGCGCAGGTCAAAACGACCTGACGCTCAGCCCCCTGCCACTACTACACTCACACCTTTCACACCCATGTCGTAACCCACATCGTAGTCCAATTTTGGCCTCAGTAATAAGCTATCGACAGTGATGGTCGTAGCCTTCACCATCGCCATCTGGGACCGACTGCAGTGTACACTAACACCATCAATTGGCTTATGTACACTAACACCGCCGTATTGGCAAATGGTCCGCCTATGTCGAGGCTATCAAAACCATCAAGTGGGCACATCAACCGCCTGTGTAGTGGTCACCAGCACCGTCGCCTTGTACTTCGACCCGACTGTCAGCGGTGCAGGTTCACTGTCAGTTCAACCGCCAAGACGCCTGTGTCGAGGTTAACACCACCATCACATCAGCGTATGATCCGCTAGTACAAAGGTCATGGTCACCGTCGCCTTGCACCATGATCTGCCTTTGATGATCGTTTAGTCGGTGTCGGGTTACTAAAGGATTCGACGGTGATATACTTTTGATCCCTGCCGCATAATACGTATAGCAACGGTGATAGGATTTCATCCAGTTTCACAATAGTTACTAATTCAGCTGGACCCTTAATACATGAACACAAAGCATACAGATATATAATCATTACATCCATAAATCATGTTCACAAACAAGAATACTTTTTACAATAACAATGGACGCTACCATAACATCTTTCTCAACTGATGTCCTAACACAGGTGGTACATAGAGCATACTAAAGGTACTAATCTATACAGACTTACATAACGAAATGACATAGCCATGCTCCTTCTATGTGGCACTCCTATTTGAAAGGCAAAATGAATATAATTAGTGCATCATTCGGATTGGTAGCCAATCAATGTTTTCCTAAACGGTAAACGATCTTTACACGGTCGTCTTTCGTTTAGCGTTTAGGCTATTTACATGGTGTTTAAATGAAGTTAAACGGTCTAAACGGTTTTGTACTTAAAAAAATACATATAATTATATATGTGCATATAAAAATCAAGTATTCTAGCATTTATACATATTTATTTGAGTAAAAATTAATTATTTTGGTATGTATATATATTTATGCATGTGAAAAGAACTAAATATAGATATTTATGTATGTAACATATCAAGTGTACATATTTATAAATATAATAAACTTAAGTATATAAATTTATTCATACAAAACTGAACTAGATTTACCTCGTGTTT